GGCATTCACAAAATTATGCAGGCAGGTATGACTTCTCTAAGAATAACAGAGAAAAAAACCTCATTACTATTTAGAAACATGTATGTAGAAACATACTATGAACTTACATCTTCATTTGTCGTTTGATTGGAGCTGATCAAATACGTGTGAAAACCTGAGAGGCCAACAATGGACCATACTGAGAAAAAACACACCACAGCTTCCAGCACAGTAATCGAAAGTCAAGGAAATATATGCAAATGGAAAAAAAATAATTATATCCAATAACAAGTAGTTACAATTACAAAATTCAGGGTAGTCAACTTACAGTCCACAAGTGTCTTGAGATCTTTGTCGTACTTCAAAGGGGTCAGCAAAAATTAAGCTCAGAAAAGCAAGTCTACTGTCAGTAGGCTTTAGCAGATAGGCCACTGGATAGCATCTACACCAGCAAATGTTTAAGAGTCTGCAGACTGAAAAAGGCTAGAAGCTACTCATGGTAGTAAGTAGGTTTGGTAGTAGTTGCCCAGAGAAGTTGTGGCTGCCCCATCCCTGGCAGTGTTCAAGGCCAGGTTGGATGAGGCTTTGGGCAACCTGGTGTAGTGGAGGGTGTCCCTGCCCATGGCAGGGGGTTGGAACTGGATGATCTTTGAGGTCCCTTCCAACCCAAACCATTCTGTGATTCTATGATTCTACGACTGGTTCTGATCTTAATTGTTGAAATTCCAATTCTCATGTTCAACCTGTAAAAGTCATCGTACTTGTATTCAGACAGGTAAGTTGGTAAGCACCAGCACATGGTGTTCTGATGGGGTGAGAGGAAGATCAAACCCAAGAGAGGTAACCCAAGGCGAGTCAAACAGCAAAGGCTGAGCAGATACGTTTGCACAAATATTTAGTGCATGATGGGAGCCTTGAGCTGGGAGTAAGGGTTCTAGATCCATGCTTGGACACAAAGCAGTAACAACAATGGAGTAAATTGCACCTCAGTCATATGTTCTAACTGCTACTCTCCTGCCTTTCTTCTGTTACTGAAGTTAAGACACCGACAGGGATTCTAACACTAGCATCCGAGTGCACCACTCTGAGTCAAACACAAAGTCCACTTGCTCTCTCAAGTCCCTCTAATAATTGGATATATTCTACATTACAAGAGGCAGAATGTGCCTGCATGGCCAGGCCTTGGCAAACAGCCTGGATAACAACTCCTGTGAAGCCTTTGGGTGGAAATAGTTGGGGTGGAGTTGAATACTCAAAGCTCAGCAGCATTTGCCCCAAATTTAACCGTGTTGAAGAGGGGTACTATCAACTACCAACTCACTGTGCTGTTATTGAACAGCAGCTGAGGAATTACAAGACGATGTTTTGAAGGAGGCATCAACCCAAATTGTAAGAAAATGAGAAAAAATGGCAGAAGATGACTTGAAGTGGGAACAGCAACAGTCAAAACTTGTTTTGGTACAGTCCCAAGTCCCTCTGCTGGCATTTGCCTGGCCCACCTAACACCCCCTCCCTATCGAACACTGGTAGTAGTCTGCATGGAGACAGCAGGCTGCCAGTATGGGTGCAACACAGAGGGACCTGCACTGGAGGCCAACGTAGGTGAGCTCACGGGGTGCCTTCTCACCAGCGTGTTGCAGGAGCAGCACTCAGACATACACAGCAAGAGCACCCACAGCTCCAGGAGGGCGGCGAAGGCGTGCGCGTGCACGCACCACCAGAACTTTCTGAACTCCTTGTGCTTTCATGGCTCACCAGCTGCATAACCCAAATGCCATAAAGCAGTAATGGGGCTTTGGAAGTGAGACTGGGATACTGGGAAAGGCAGTGAGCACTCAGTATTGCATGCATGCTTCAGTCGACGTCATTCCTGCAACTCTATGAGAGTCATCATCTCAGCAACAAGACAATAAAGTTGCTTCTAAACTTCATATAATCAAGCACAAAAAGGCTTCCTGCTGCAGTTTGTTATTTATATATATTTTTATTTACACACAATAGCTATAAACTCAGAATACATTTGCTTTGAGAATGTTACTGTCTATAACACTTCAATAGTATTTTTTTTTTTAAGGGAATATGAATCAAAAGCAGAAAAGACTTTGATTCCTAGAAAAAGAGATACAATAAATCAGTAGGAATAAGACAATGGGAAAAGAATAGGATAAAAATAATCTGCATATTAACCATATGCCAACCTTTAGTGAAGACAGTTTCCAAGACAACATCAACTCAAAACATTCCAGAACAAGGATACAGCCTTAAAACATACAAAAACATCCTTATGGCTGAACCTATCAACAGAAGAGAAATATGACAGGTCCTCACCATTGCACAGAGACACGGACTGGAAAATGCATGGATGGACATAAGTACTTGTGATAAATAATCCTGATATTAGTTAACAGCAAAGAGTTTTGTATTGCAGGTCTGCTCTCACCTAACGAACTGAGAAATACCTGAACTGTCTGTATGACTTCTTCTAGAATTTACTTCGTTCAGAGTGGTTCAGAAGCCAGAAAAGATCCATTTGCATTCTGAGCAAACGTGCTCCGGAAGCAGCAGGATGACCAAAGTGCATTGCTGAGCAGCACGTTCACTACTCTGTCCCTCCCATCTCGTCCTCAAACTATGTGGAGAGTCAAACCAAGACAAGATAGGAACTCCATCTCAGTTGACTGTGCAACAGCCACAGCTAAAGCAAGAAGAATGAGGGAGAACGGATAAGGATAACGACAACGGATTGCTGTTAGCAGAGGGTTCAGAAAGGCTTGAGAGAAGGCAACAGCCCCAAACCATTATGCACAACACAAGTCCACCTGACTGGCTTTGAGAAGGTAGAAATTGTAAGGAAAGGCTGTAGACAAGCACTGTTGGGTGGAATCTACACACCAAGACTAACAGAAAGATGCACCAGGTCAGAAAAGAGGAATCAGAGAAGGAGGACTTTCCTCAAGCTCTTCAGATGACCGAGCACACCACTGGCAGGATGTTCCTCACCATGACTACACTCAAGATGGTCCTGAAACGCAAGTTTCTCCCTCCACATGGTAATTCCTACTGACAAAAAAGAGAATTCCCTTCAGCTCAAGACTTCTTTCAGTTCCCCACTGACAGGGACTTCTTTCAGTTCCTCACACCAAGATTCAAAGACCTCTAGAACAGCAGAGGTGGTTCATGTTAGATTAACACGATTCCATTGATTAAAAAGAAGTCCAGTAATTTAAAATCAAATACAAAAAGCAATATATTCTCAATATAAAGTACACCTTACCAGCATAATATGGTCTAACACTCTCTCGGTATCTCACAGTGTTGTTAGCAAAACAGAAATGGCAATGTTCTCTCTGCTTGAATTGACTGGTTTGCCCCAAAGCAGCATTCCCAACACTATTTGGACAACTTCATTTTTCACTGTTAGGGATTGTAACCAAGCTATTAAAGTGTTCAGCAAATCACTATCAAACAAGGCCATCTCCACAAGATGCTACTGAGCCTTTCAGATCAGCACATCTCTGAATCTGAACTATGAATAAGCAGCTCATTGTTCCTGTACAAGGATCCCCAAATGCATAATCAATCACCTTTTGATTCGAGGACAATCGAAAGCTATTCTCAGTTGGAAAATAGTCTGAAAGAATCATCTTTTGTAAGAAGTGAAGGTAATTGTTTCAATTGGAAGCTATTGTTGTGCTATTACGAACAGTTTGTTTGTAAAATCATTTGTATAAAAAAAAATCTGAACAGTGGCTTTGCTTAAAAAGGGAGTTTACAGCTCAATGACTCTACTTGATGAACAAAAATCATATCTGCAGAATTTGGAGAATTTGATACTTGAAAAAACTACCTGGAAAAACTACCTGGAAAGAGAGGTCTGCCTTTATGCACAACTACAAACGACAGAGCAAGAGGTTTTTCTTCCTACTCTTCTGTGAAAAAGAGCAAACTATGTGAGGCACAATGGACAAAAGACTTTTCCTCACCACGAGTATGAGAAAGAATTCTTTTTATAGTAACTTGTGAGAGGAGCAAACTGCTTATTCAGACACAAACTGTTCAAAATACGTACACAAGGAGTGGGAAGCTTACAGCCTGAACAGAAATGTAAGGAAGAAACTAAACGTAAGTTATGTCAGCTTCCCATTCTTCTATTGTGCTAGCTGCTGTAGAAAATTTACTGAAAGATCCCATGAAGTGACAAAAAGAATATGGAGTATTTACAGAACAGAACCATGGAATGGTTTGGGTTGGAAGGGACCTCAAAGATCATCCAGTTCCAATCCCCTGCCATGGGCAGGGACACCCTCCACTACACCAGGTTGCCCAAAGCCCCATCCAACCTGGCCTTCAACACTTCCAGGGATGGGGCAGCCACAGCTTCTCTGGGCAACCTGTGCCAGTGCCTCACCACCCTCAGAGGGAAGAATTTCTTCCTTATATCTAATCTAAATCTCCCCTCTTTTGGTTTAAAACCATCTGTCGTGCCACTACAGGCCCTGGTAAATAGTCTTTCTGTCTCTTTAACGAGCCCCCTTTATATATCTAATGACCACGAGGTCTCCCCAGAGTCTTCTCTTCTCTGGGCTGAACAACAGCAGTCCCTGTGTATGCGTGTGCAGACTTTTATGTAACTTAACTGAAGGTGATACCTGAAAATGCCATCTCTAAACCCAATAAAGAAATATAAGAATACTTTCAGAGATTGAACTCCTCAGGGACAGGTTATGGTTTCAGTTGTTCCACAATCGACTTTTTCTATCCTGACAAGAATCAGTCATTTTTGATACTTTTGGTTGTAAAAGCAGAATTACTATTTAATATTTTAAATGAAACCACAGCATGGTTACAGTGTGAGATATACTTATGAATTCCATCACAAAGAAATGGAATATATTTCCAGCACGCATGGAAACTACAGACCTTTGCCACGAGTACTACTTTGCAAAAGATGAGGAATAAAAATCCCCCCAGGCTATAGTCTCTTTCCTACCTCCAACATGTGGCGAGAAATCCAGTTGTGCAGGAAGCGATGAAATCCTGAACTGGTAAAATCCCAAATGCACATATCCAACAATAGCAAGAAAACAAGCAAAACCACATCTCAGATGTTATTTTGCAACAAGATCTACAATTTGTTTCAGTGAAAGGATATCTTGCAGGACTGTCCTTCAGGGCATTGAGGAACCCTGTTTGTTGAGAACCTGTAGAAATAGAACCCAAAATTACCAGCTGAGTAAGAAATTGGACTACAGATTGCTTTCAGCATAGTTAACACAATTAATATTTGAAGATCAACAGAATAATCACAGAATAGATTTACTAATATAAACCTGAGATTATGTTGCTCAGCAGCAACAACATCAGAAAAAAAACCCTGAAGTTATCAGGTCTCACATCTGCAGGATATTTTCTCAGCCATACCAAATTGATGCATGCATACTTTCCCATGAACAAGATTTCTAATTATTCCTGTTCTTTTCAGACCTAATATGGAAACAAAATATTATAACCTCCTTTTTTTTTTTTTTTTTTTTTTTTAGTTTGAATTACTATTTTTCAAAGCAACTTTTTTACTTGGAAAAATTCATCCTATAAATCCAGATTCTCAACTTTCTCTCCTTTTCTCTGGAAGCAAAGTTCTCTGGACTGTAATCCTGCTCCTACTGCACCTGCACAGAAGTTTTTTCTAATAGGTGCTTGTTGCTTCTTGGTGAATAAAAGAATATCTACTAGCTGAAAAGGGCTCAGGAGCAGCATGCTCCAATGCACTAGAGATGCAGAAGCATCCACTTGGGTTCCACAACCGTGAGATATTAATCAAAAAGGGCAATTTGACAATTTTCTGGAGTTAGTCTGTAGAAACGGACTCAACGTCACATAGGTATAAGGCACACAGTTTGCATTTTACTTTGTAATTTAAATGATTTAAATGCGTCAGGTTGAAAGTCTTTCCCTCAGCAAAAAAAAAATTCCCCCTCAGCTAAATTCACCTGAAGATTTGTATGAAGAGAGAAGAACTTTGTCTTTAAAACAAAAAAAGGAAAAAAAATATATATGTGTGTGTATATACATGTATATTCTCTAGACCTGCCTGGTCAATTTTACCATCTGCCATTAAAAAGGGAAAGTTACTTACCTTGCGTTTCTGAGTCTTTTCAGACTCTCATAACTGGTTCTTAGCCCCAAGGCACGTGACTAGTGGAACTTTCCCCTACCATCTTACTATTTTTAGGATCCTTAATGGCAATGGCAGTAGGTAGGTGTGATCTCTATTCCCTACTGCTGGTCACACTCTTCCAAGCAGTTCCCAATATACCAGACACGTAAGGTTCCTCACTGCAGGTAGGAGTAACTGGAGATAGGCACTACTACTGAAAAGATGTTAAGCTTGGGGAGATGGAAGGAAATCTTGCAAGACAATAGCTTCCAAGTACCTGATTTGCAAAGTAATTTTATTATTGTCACTAATACTTCGTGGAAAAATTCTTCATCCTAGAAAGGGCAAATTTCCAATGAATGCCTCAAAAGTAAGGCCATAAAACCCCAAAAAGTTAAGATGTATCTCTATCTCGTCACCTCTTACATCCACTAAAAACTATAAAAATGCCAGCTTGTGAGATTTATTAGAAGTGAAATGTTTCAACAGTTTTTCTAAATCAGGATGTATTAAAAAAAAAAAGAAAACAGGTTTCCTATATAATCAACAAGGTCAGAGAAAGAACTTCCCTATTAAGATGATCCATAAAAAATTATTTTTTTTTTAAGGTCAATGCCTATATGTTGCTAGAAATACCCCTCAGTCCCTTCCTAGAAGGATGTTGTCAGAAGGTGTTCAGTCTAACACAGGATACCTGGAACAAAGTGTTGCTGAGGGGAAGGTAATCCTGCTAGAAACATCTTCAGAAGAGGTAAGACCAGGATTTAAGTCAGCAGGACCTCCTCTAAAACCAATAATTCTGCCAGAACTTGTGGAAATACACATGGATGACTGCAGGAAGATCATAGTCCCAGGTCTAAAACCCGAGACTTTAATTCAGACTGACACAAGGACTATGTCATTTGCAAAGGTTCAGACTAAGCCCCTGAGAATCCTGCTTAATGGTCAGCATCAGCTGAAGAACTGCAGGGCTGCAAAACAGAATGGAAATGGTTGAGTGATAACATAGCAACCTAAGAGTGGTAACTATTAGAAGTGTAGCTATGAGGACTTCTAGAAGCATGGGGGGCACAGAGAGAGTGGAATGATCAATATTGCAAAAAAACCACCCCTTTTATTTGTAAACAACTCTTTTTTTTTGGACGCAGTCAAGATTATAGGAGATAAATCGGAAAGCTGGGCTTGAAGCTCCGACATAGCAAACAAACATGAAGGAACTAATCACAATCCATACCTGCTCCCATTGCCTTTGAGGACCAGTCATCAGAACTAGGGAGGTTTTTCCTGTCTCATCCCCGGTGGATCAACCTCCATCGTGAGGCTTTACAGCTGATATACTTAAACAAGTCAGCGTTTAACATTTACTATCCATTATCTGTAACACCTACGCAGTGCTGAAGTGCTGCTCAACCACACAGAGGCACAATTCCTTGCTCCACTCTTTGTCTAATTCACACTTAGAATTAGATATGGACACTGCAAAGTTAAAATCCACTGGATAAATCCCCTTGACATACAAAATATGAAATATTAGCATAATATTGGTAATTCATATGCTGAAAACTGCGGGAAAAACAAAAAAAAGCACTGAACTGTTTATGAAATATGGGTAAGCTAGTGCCAAAGGTAGCTCCATACTGTCAGACTGGTGTTTTCAACTGCCAAATTCTAGCAGAGGATGATGACAGAGAAAAACCCCACGCTTCCTTCTTAAACGTAAAAAGCGTGCGTGCATTTACCCGTGCGTGCCCAAATAAGCTGCAAGGATTTGAGTATTAATGGAAAGTGTTCTCTTCCTATAGTCACTTTTCTCTTTTTAAATAACATGGACACCTTTTCTCTGCTCTTTCCACTGATATTAGAAACGCTGTATCTGGCAGAGAGAAAAACTTGGTGATCCAGATCACCCCCAAACTCAAAGTGTCCCTAGCTCCAGATTTCTGAGCTACAGGAGAGCTGCTCAGTGCTCTTATCCTTTTTTTGTGAAGCACAAATAAGGGGAATTGCTCTGCATTGTAATACACAAATTTTCATCCCGTCACAGTGTAATTAATTTAGGAAACTGAGCACAATCTTGCATGTTTTTCAGTAAAGCATTCTCTAAATATTGCCATTATTGAGTTAGCTTTAGAAACGTGTTATCAACTCAAATGATTACTTCTATCAGGTTTCCATTGCAATATGGAATACAAAGAAATAAAAAGATCATATTTCCAAAATGATTAAAGAAATACCGTGCAAGGCAACATCCTAAATTAGTGAAAAGATAGAAAACTCTTAAGCTTCCTAGTGATAGTGGGTTAAAAAACCTCACAACACAAAAAAAGTCTTTAAAGACAAGTCATATAACCCATCACCAGAAATTAGAACATCATCATCATATAGGAGCCAACAAAATTTGTTACGTATGGGAAAAAGATATGACCCAAAAGAGTCTTGAAAATTCTCTCCTCAAACCCAATCCAGAATAGAAATAAAAATCAAACTCGTGAATATTCATTTTCCTATAGCTTATCTGATTCACTCCATTATAAATCGGTTATTCTCAGAAGGTCTGTGCAAATGAAAGCAACTTGTGTTAAAAATAGGGTAGAAAAAGATGCAAAAGTAAACAGCAAACAACAGAAAGTGTAAAATAGCTCCAGTCTATTTCCTAGCGATTTACCTGTTTGTTTGGATGGCAAGTGGTGCATGTTTACAGTTAAAAAAGCACACAAAAGTTCTTTAGGAAAATGATAACTATCTATATACTTAGCCATAGAGTACATGTGCTGTTTTTCCAATAAATCGTCCACGAAAGGACAAAAAAAAATTAAGGAAATTAAGATATTAAGCTAAAGGCAGCACTAGGTCAATGACTACCATGACTAGGGTCTACTACAGACCAGAATGGGACTCAGTGCGGATTGTGAAGCTTCAGAGAAAAGGCGAATAAATAAATAAATAAACAAACCCTGAATGATCAAAAGATTAACTTAAAAATAAAAAACTCAAGCAAATGGCTACATACGTAATCCGATTTCACCAGCATACTTACGAAGGATGACGTGGGTGATAACGAATGCAAATATAAAGACTGTCAGAAAGGACAGAGATAAAATAAACATATAAAAAAATCTGTAGTTTCTTTTCCCCACACAGTTGCCTACCCAGGGACAGTGGTGATCAAACCGTTCTGAAATGAGAGGCAGAAGAAAAAAAAAAAAAAAATGGAAATCAATTAATAAAATGCTGTTTATTTGAAAAACGCTCTCTGAATACTCTATTAAAAACTCATGATTCAACTGGCATTTGCAAATTAGCCACAGAGAAATTCTTATTTAGAAAGGAAAAAATAGAAAAGAAAAAGGGAGTATTTTAATGGAACCTTACAGCTTTTGAAGAAATCAAAGTATGGCTGAGGTGAGCTCCCGTTAAACCAGCAGCGTTACTGGGATAAATGGTGCCATCGTACCAAGCAGCACGTATTTGTCCACTCTCACGTGCAGTGGCACCAACTCTACTGCATTTTCTTCTTTCAGAGTAAGGATTTTTTTCTTCTAGTGACTTTTCTCCTCAAAATCTGAGGGTTTTTTATGTTGTTTCATTTATATCTGTCATGATGACACCTCTGACTTATGTCTACTACCGCCTCATCCATGACAGAACATGAAATATTTATACCCTCCCACTTCCTCTTACTGCTTCACTCAAAACATTCTCCATTCCAAACCACCTATTTTTCCACTGAGAGTTGACAGTGCCACACAAAACCATTCCAAAGAGCAAAACCATTCCCACACGCCATTTTTCCAGTGTTAAGATTCAGACAGTCTTGTAAAATTTACTTACACTTTTTGGGAGGTTGAGGTTGGGTTGTTTTTTTTTGTGTTTTTTTTTTTTTTTAATGATCCATTCAATCTTACAGGAATTTTCTGTAAACCACGTGGTATAAAAATCCGTAGATGTTGTCGGAATGCTCCATTACCCTTCCCACCATAGGCTTCCTCTTCCTCTTCCTAAACCAAACCCTTTCCCTTTCTTTCCCTGAGGGATTAACTCCTTCCTGGGACAGGAAAAGGCCAGGATGGGTCAGAAACTCATGTTCCCAACACAGAGGAACTGCCCCAGCACTGGAAAGGGCAGAGGGACCAGTTCGCTTGGCATCTCCCAGGCATCCTGGAGCCCACCTCCCCGTCCCAGTACGCCGGGTAATGGAAACGGGGCAATTGTCAGGAAACCAAACTGGCATTTCCTAACTTCACACTGACAGAATGGTAGAATTTTCAAGTTTTTAATCAAATCTAAGACGGCAACGTAAGACACGTGCTCTCACACTGACTCTCTCTCACTCTTTGAGCCTTGTCCAAAGCTTGTTTTGTTTTCTGTGACTTTTACACCTCCACTGGTGCACAACATCAAACTATTTGTAATTCCAGAGGAAAGGCAGGCTATAAATTTGAAGTCCTTAAGCCCCACATTAAAAAGGCACATCTGTCCAAGTTGATTTTAGCTATGGCTTTATGTTAAAGACCTACAGTGGAGTTCTTCCTTGAAGGATGTATTTAGCATTACCTTAATTTAAAAAAAAAAAAAAGTCAAGCCAACATGCACAACAGATTTCTGAGTTCACCAGACTTTCAGGGTTTTTTTTTAAATGGTTTTGCGTGACAGCTGTTCGGACCACATGTTTCTGCCATAAATCTGTTTCCAATTCCAATGGGGCTATTCAAGGTGAAGTCACTGAACTTTCTTAGGATAAGGCTTCAGAAATACTTTGATTTACTGAGTACTGCTAAGAATACCAAGAACTAAACACTCCAGTATCTAGAAGGGTAGGCAATACTACCTTTATTCAGTGCAATACAGTTGTACTCCCAAAATAAGATGACATTGCATTTGAACACTACTATTTATTTATGTTTTTTTTTTTTTTTTTTACATTTGTGCTTCTGAATGAGTCCTTATTTTCTGATAAACACTTTACTTCATTTAATGGGTACCTAATACAATGCATGAGTATATAATAACACAAAGAAAAATACAGTTACAGAGACTTTTAAAGAACATAATCCTAGGGTACTTTTGTATGCTACTGCTTCAGAAAAAAAATGTAAAATCATGACGTGTCTTTGGAAGATGAATTCCGTATATACACATTTGTTCTCTTCTATGCTGACACTGTAGGTATCAACAAATTATATTGACATAAAGCTCAGTTTCTAGCCATGAAACCATATTTAGATACACGTAGACATCTACTTGATAGATTCAGATATATGCAGACAAAAACACACACATGCCTATCTACAAACACACACATTTTTTTTTTTTCCCACACACTTACTAAAGATTGGCTTGATATTTTTAACCTACTCGTCACTCCTCTCCAATTTCTGTCTTCGAACTTTCTTGGTAAACTGAAAGGCTCTGCTTTCTCAATAAATACCTTACCCATCACTGTGAAGTAATACCTAAGGTGTTTGTAAAGCAGAAACGGGCAGAAAAGGCTAGCTGGATATGAAAAACACTGCTACAGTGTTAAATCTGAATCAACTCTAATGAAAAGGAGAATTATTAAAGGGTTTACATGAGTATTATGAATTAATAAATTTGGCCTCATTTTTCTCAGGCACAAAATAGAAAGAGATATCACATTTATGCTAAATGCCACAAAACAGTACACTAAAAAGCAAGAGATTATTCTACTCAGGAGAGGACAAATATGTAAATCCAAGTTAAAGATAATAGCCTCAGAGCTGGGAGCTCTTCTGCTTAGTCGACAATGCAAGAGAAAAGAGTCAATCCTGGCAAAATGAATAGACACACACTAAGCAGAAACTTCTAATGCTGTTAAGAAATATAAACTCTCTTAAATCTAGAGCTGCTTCTTATTCCTTACAAGAAGACATGGCTTTAATGAAGAAATAACACAATATCTTTAGGTTCACCTCCAGCACTCTAGACGCCTGCAAACTGAACAACCAATGATCCGGAAAACAAAGCTCTGCCTGACATCTCTACTTGGCTTGGACAATGTTGGCAGCTAAATGAAGATTTACCTTCACTGAGAAATAAGAAACTACTGATGCTGAGAAAAAACAGGGATCATGGCCTTCATAAACTTAAAACGCAGGGCTAACAAAAATGCAACGGATTGCTACGAAGAATAACAGACTGTTTAGAAGGGATGGCTGCAGTTCTGGTTCAAATGTACAGGATAGAGTTAACATGCTGCTATATTCGATCATACATTTGTGATAGGATTAATGTGAAAATATTTGAGGCAAACGAAGACAATCAAAACATTGGTAATGCAAACTCTTGTTAACAAAAGGCATATTAGAACTCTTAATGAGGGAGGAAGAAAGCTGCAAGGGCTGAAAAGTTTGCCTATGGAAACATCCCATGGATAGAAAAGTTGTGATAGATCATCCTCCCACACTCAATTTTAAGCAAAAGCAGCAGGGATCTGCCTTCATGACGTGGTATGATGATACAGTCACCTCCACCTGAGTGAGAACTCCTGCCAGAACAGATGGACCAGTTCCTCCCCTTCCAGCCATCCCGTGAACAGCCTCTTGCCTGCGTGCTTACAGCTCTCAGTCCTTAGGCCGAGTCTGGTGTTCATTTCACCCTGCAGGAGCTGGTTCACAGAGCCAGATAAACCTAAAACTATGGTTAACTTTCCATTGCCTAGCTCCCCAGAGTACCAGACAAACACCAAAACTGGCCCCAGTGAAGCACTGAGAACACGCTGCCGCAGAAGGGATGAAACAACCCTATCGGAGGCAGCCAAGTGTTAATGCAGCTGAGCTGTAACACCAACTGTACTACAGGTTAACACTTACCAGGGCTGCAGCAGAAATTAAGTTTTGATTAATTTTTCAGAGCCTGAGAACAAAAGCTTAAGCAAACAAAAAATAACGAGGAAACGTGTGAACTATTTACAAGGCAAAGTATCAATGAAAAGAGGAGATGAGTAAACGGAGACTAAAAATGCTGCTGTAAAGACCACAGACAACCAAAGAGGTCAGAAACCTCAAAAGCTGTCGCTGAACCTGCAACAGTGACTTTATTTTACTCTTTTCCAATTGATCAGCGACTTCAAATTTGGATAATAACTTCGGAAGACAGCCAGCACCCCCAAACCCAAATCCTACGGATGAGGCTTTACGAGATAACCAAGCTAAGCTAAAAGCTTAGCAGCAGTGAAAGGGACAGCCACGTGCTGCCTGTCCTGCTACTTCATCTCACTTCTTCTTTTACTGTCTAAGCTGTTGATGAGTCAGGTCAGTTCCCTAAACTGGCAGGAAAGAAAAAAAAAACCAACCAATTATTTTGTTCATTGCCTAGTGAGAAAAACTGATTTACCAACGGCTACGTGTTACTAAGGGCTGTGAGAACAGGATAGAATCACACATACAAAAAAAAAGGATGAAGTTCAGATGCTGCCCTTTGGCAGCAGCAAGCTGCCAGCATGACTCAGGGGTCTTATTAACACCCACCTAACAATATACGGTAACTGGATGACAGAAGAACATACAAGTTACATCATAGTTCAGACATAGATTTCTCATAGATTTCTAGGTTGGAAAAGACCTTAGAGATCATCCAGTCCAACCATCCCTAATCCCCATTAAACCATATCCCTAAGTACATCATCCACCCTTTTCTTAAACACATCCAGGGATGGGGACTCACCCACCTCCCTGGGCAGCCTATTCCAGTGGCTGACAACCCTTTCAGAGAAGAAATACTTCCTAACATCCAACCTGAATCTCCCCTGACTAAGCTTATACCCATTTCCTCTTGTTCTATCACCCAAGACATCTCTCTTGGCTTTTACCTTCTCAAATATTTACATTTGAAAACTTGCTCAAGAAACATTAACTGCTGGATATCTCAAACAAAATGAAAACTGGCAACGCTTCCCACTTTAATAAGCAATGGTCTCATAGATGGAGAGTGTTTCCTTCGGAAGCCAGACCGAAGCACGTTCCTTGCTGCTCAGAACCAGTGTCAAACCTTGACTTTTCCACTGCACAGCATGTAGACTCCTTAAATCCTTAAGTGTTCAGCTTCCATTTTTCAATCACTACACTCCAGGACACCACATACAAAATGACCTCAACGCTTTCCTTCCTCTTTCAAAACATTTAATAAAAGCTTTATAATTTACCAGGAACAAAAAAG